ACTGACAATGCAGAAATCGTCAACAGATTAATTATTTTTCTATTTCTAAGGCACTGTTTCAGGTGACATAAATAAATATAAATATGGAAATAAATACATGGAACATATACAATATTTATAAATGTATCACTCCAAACGAAAAATGAACAAGTATCTTTTGTATAATGATCATTACAATTTTGTGTCCACTTAATAAACATATTACAGTTATATTGATAACAAAACATTTATTCCTATCACAAGTTTTTACTTACTGCAACAGAACCTAGAAAATGCAAATTTTTATTAGGTAACTTTTTTGTTTAGTTTCGAAAATTTTACAAAATCAGGCTAAAAATAAAGGCTTAGACAGTATTATAAATTTTTAACGTGTTCGGTTTGCTCCTAAATGTTAAATAATAAATAGGGTTTTTTTATTAATGTGAATTGGCGTATTTTATGAAATTAAAAAAATTCTTAGTTGCAAAATTTACAATCTTTCTATAATTAGGTTAAAACAGATTTGCGTTTCAAAAAGAAACAATCTATTTTTTATTTTACTAATTTACCTGTTAACACCTACTCAATATTGTTGATATTTTATTTTGGCTGTATTTAATAAATAAAAATTATTCTACTATTATAGATATACAAAGAACAGAACACAAAAATCACTAAAAAAGCTTATAAAGTTAATGCACTAATAACAGTAATTTCAATTCAACTTAATATTAAAAAACCAGAATACTATTTACAAATTTCTATATATTTTTTTAAGGTGAGTGTAAACATGGTACTTTCTTATTATGACTGCACCGTGGAAGTGAAGAATATTCGACCACATCAACATTTTGTTATTGGAAAAGGTAACTGTTGTCAAAAATGTAACGTTCTAATGACTTGAGGATGTCGATACTATTTGCAAAAAAAAGAAAAAATCGAGCCGACAAATAAAAATTTACTAAAAAAAGTTTATTAGCTGAAATGATTAAAATTGATTCTCATGTCACTGAGGTGAAATGTTCATGTAATGAGAAGAGTTTGTGGTGTATTTAGTAAACTATATGGAAAACTATATTTTGGAAACTAGTTTTTCTTTTAAAATAATTCTGTATCCCATCTCGAACTTGCTGTACTTAAGAAAAATATTAGGAAAGGAAAAAAGGAATATACATCGGTAATTTCACTTAACATTAAAAAATCAGAACCGGCGTACAAAATGGTCGGATGAGAATCTTTTTCTACTGGGTCTTCAACAATACCGAAAACCCACGTGACCAAATCGTCATGACAGCAATTGGTAAAAATAAAAATGAAAATCCCTAGATGTGAGCCAGTGCCGTAGGTATTTTATTACAAAATAGATCTTCTTCTGTTTTTATGGTCTGCAACTATGAGAACAAAATTTAGTTAGGTAACTGTTAGAATTACAACACGAAATCATAATATTAATAATTAGAGGTGCTTTACATTATTGTATTTTAATGTTAGAATTTGATATTTTAATTAGATTTGGTCAAATGCAATAATCTAACTTTTAAAATTATGATATAATTAACATAACCTTAAAAACTGAGCTATTTATATCTAGTTTGTATTTATCGAAAAGAATGATAAACTGAAATATAGTTCGTACTAGTTATTGCTACTATTACAAAAAAAACCTTTACCAGAACGTTATGGACAAAAAATGTTATGCATTAAAATATGAAATATTAAAAATTATTTACTTTAGATTGACTATAAGCTATTTAGCTACAGCTGAAACTTTAAATACGATTGGCAGAAGACAATGGCAGTATTTGGCAATAATTGCAGTTTAAGTAAACAAATTTAAAACTTACTAGAATTGTACCTGGGGACTGGGAAATAATAAATATTTTTTGAAGTTTGTCCTATTATTTATTTGTTACAGGGTTTAAACCATTTACAAGATATATTATGTTACTTATATGTATACAAAAAATTATTAATATTGTTAATGCAGCAAGAACACATTTGTTTTACCTTACATATTTCACTTTAAATTATAAAGGCATACCTATTAACAACTATTTTATTTAAAAGCATATTCAGTAGTAATCGGTAGTGCACAAACGATACTAATTCGAAGTACCTATCTGTTCAAAATCTCTACCACCAGCTTTAATATAAGCATTAATTGTTCTTCTTTGAACACATTATGCAGTTTCTCCTCAGTTATATTTTGTATTTCATTTAATATAGGTGCCCCAGTTCATAAACGTCACACAAACGATTTTGAATTGAACGATCTGTAATATTCCATAGGTAGGTTTAACAAAATTAAGGTAAACTGATTGTTGCAGTACTGAAACTTTATAGGGGATGCATATCAGAAATGTTTTAAATACTTTATGGCTAGTTCGTAGTGACAAACCTAAAAAAAAAGTTTTGAATTTCACTCGTCAGAGTCAGTCTTTGAAACACCGTTAATACCTGTTTGAGGTGCTGTTTTTTTACTAATTTATTGGAAATTTGCTCCATGTTCATTTGCATATCTTCAACAGCTTTTGTTATTACTGTGGGCCTTTTAGAGCTTTTTCCTTTTTTTTATAATTTTGAACAAGTATTTGTTTATAACGACAAAAAAGAATCACGTTCCATTTATTCAACTGGAAAACGTTCCTCAAATTTTCGAATACAATTACGAATATAAAATAATTTTGTTTCTGTGTAACATTACCTGAAATAAAATAAATTATAATAATATAGTCATTAAATTTTACGAGTTACAGTAAATAAATTTGTACTTACCAACAAAAAAGAATTAAGCCACCAATTTTCTCTAAAAATAACTAATTGCTTTGTTACTATTAAATGAAAAACGGAATAAAGGTGTTTATAAAATATAAACAAACATAACATAAATATTGTCAGTCCCCAAATGAACGCCAGTGACATTTCTGACAGTTCAGTTTAGTTCCTTTTACGTCAAATCAGGCCCTTTCGATGGGTTTTTGATGGTTATCAGATCACGTGGGTTTCGGGTATTGTTGAAGACCTGGTAATTAAGTGTCGGTGATAAGTAACGAAATACGACTGATCATTAATACGCAGAAATAATTTGCGCATGCCAAAATTAACGCTATATTTGAAATAAAATGTATCTGCATATAGGCAACACAAAATACCGAATAGACCAAATCTTAAATATACATCGGCCAAAACAGTTTGAATAGGTATATATCGGGTGGCAATGGCCAGAAAATTCTATTTTCAAATTCAACTGCAAATGTTTCTCTCAGAGTTTTTTGTGTGACATCTCCAAATTTTGAAATAAATAAGGAAGTTAGGGGGTGGGGCTCAGTGGTAGAGTGTCTGCCTGCGGATCAAAGGGTCCCAGGTTCGAATCCCACCGTTGGCCGGGAGTTTATTTAATTTAATTATTTAAAATTAATTCTGATGCCTTGGTAGTATTTCCTACTCGACCATTCACTGTTGGGTTCTAATTAACAGTGCTGTTTCTAAAGTGGCGCTGTAAAACTGTAACAAAGCCTACACAGAATACGAGGCGAAATAACCAGTGTAGTTCAGATACCTATTAGAAGTTGATTTTGAGGAACAGTGCTAAATTCAATTGAAATAAAAAACAAATTTTGTAAAGTTTTCTTTAATATTCTATAAACATTTTTATAACTACTCATAATATTTACATTCATTTATCAATTACAATTAAAATTATTCAAATCTATTAAAAAGACTTAATAAAACTTAAGATTAAAAACGACAACACGAGGTTAAATTCTCAAAGTCCATCTTGTGATTATAATAATTATGTTAAACCTATTTAAATTATGGATTATAATCTAGCGATATTTATCTACATATAGATAAGTTCTCGAAAACGCTTTGTTACTCATTGGACAAATAACTTTTTTCTACACCCACATGGATATTAGCTTATCTACGCACAGACTACAAAACAAAAAAGTATGTCATTACGTTCAACTGAACGAATATATTTCATATCCATTCTACAAAAAAAGGAAATCCACCAATCACAGTTCATATTTTGGACACTCAACCTATTATTTTTAAAATTTTAAATAAGTGACAATCCTGTCAAACTAATTGTCAGTATATTTTTTAATTATTACGATTTTTATTTGAACCATATTTTGAAACAAAAATTAAATTTAATACAGACTATATGAAGCTATTTTAATTACGAGTACTAAAACCAAAATAGTAAAAATGGTCATAGAGGCATTGACAGAGAAAAGTCGGGGATCAATTCTTGACTGGCGACTATTTTTTTATATTTCTTTTATTTTAAAAATCAGTACAATTAATAAATTTGTATAAAATTAGTTATTTTGTCTTAATAACCTAAAATATTTTTCAATTTGTAGATTTCCGTTCGTGGGTCGTAGAAAAAAATATACTATACAACTCGAGTGGATTGTCCATATCGCACTCAAACTCTTGAACACTCCGCCTGCGGCGTCGTGCCCAAATTTCGTCTTAGTGCGATATGGCCATCATATCCACTCTTGTTGCACAAACTACTATTTCCTACGACCACTTAGGAAAGTGACACAGTAGGTGCCCTATATCAATGCGAGTGGATAAGAATCTGCTTTCCACCCGCGTGTGAATATCTACTTTCCACAACAAATATGTCAAACGCGTAATTTCTATTTTCATTTTTTAAATATTTTACCTGATGAAGACGAGACCATATTAGAAAATGTTTGATATCTTATAAGGTATATTTTTTACCCCCGGCTTACGGTTTATTTGGAAATAATGTCCCATTTAAACGGTTTCTCACCACCGAAAACTATTAATGTTTCAGTAAGAATTCTAAACAAATTATTTAGATGTCACATTTTACTATTTTTTACCACTGTGAATCACTGAATGTCTCTGTAAGTGATATTTTAGAGTAAAACTTTTATTACAATTGGCACAATTGAATAGTTTTTCACCTCTGTGAGTTATTGAATGACTAAGTTACTTTTATTATTAAATGATTTAGAACAAACGGCACACTTAAATTACTTCTCACCACCTCTGTGAATTGTTAAATGTTTATGTAAGGTATATTTATTATTAAAGTCTTTGGAACAAATGTCACATTTGAATGGTTTTTCGCTACTGTGAATTACTAAATGACTTTTTAAATGGGATTTTAGTTTAAATCTTCTAGTACAAATATCACAATTGAATGGTTTTTCACCGCTGTGAATTATTAAATGTCTCTTTAAGCAAGATTTTTGACTAAATCCTTTATAACAAATGCCACAATTAAATGGTTTTTCAGCACTGTGAATTACTAAATGATCTCGTAAGTGGGATTTTTGAGTAAATCCTTTACAACAAATGTCACACTTGTATGGTTTTTGACCACTGTGACTTAATAAATGATTTTGTAAGTGAGATTTTTGATTAAATCCTTTATAACAAATGTCACACTTAAATGGTTTTTCAGCTAAGTGGATTACTAAATGATATTGTAACTGGGCTTTTCGAGTAAATCCTTTATAACAAATGTCACAATTGAATGGTTTTTTAGCACTGTGAATTGCTGAATGACCTTGTAAGTAGATATTTGAAATAAATCCTTTATAACAAATGTCACACTTGTATGGTTTTTCTCCACTGTGACTTATTAAATGAGTTTGAAAGTGATAATTTCGATTAAATCCTTTATAACAAATGTCACACTTGAATCGTTTTTTAGCAATGTGAATTTTTAAATGTTCCCTGAATTTAGATTGTTGATTAAATAATTTGAAACAAGTATTACACTTAAAGGAGTCGTCAACATTAATGCTGTTTTGCTTCAGCTCTTTAGAAGAAAAATTTAATTTCAAAGGTTTGTCTTCATTTTGAATTTTATTTCTATTTTTCACTACATGTATAAACAAATGTCGAAAAAATTCAATTTTTTTCATTTCTTTTCCACAAAACTGACAAACTACGTAGCGTTTTTCAAAATGTCCATCAATATGAGTCGATCCTGACTTAGAAGACGGAAAATCTGCAAATTAAAAAAATGCAAAATCACAAAATATATATTGATGTATGATTACGGATATCATTATTCAGCAAATATTTATTATTTAATTGACCAATTTTTAATACCTAGATATTTCATGTTATTTACTATATTTATTATATTATATAGGTTGTTACTGGTAATAATATTTACTTGATTGAAAGAAGGAGCTGTGGATTTATTACAGAAAAAGAAATGTAGAAGGTTTTTTCAACTTCAATAATTGTACTTTGTTTTTAGCAGAGTTCTTTATTGAATCGGATACGGTTATTGTCTAGTAAACACATTCCATATTTAAATAGTTTTTCACCTCTGTAAATTATTAAATTACTTTGTAAGTCATATTTTCGATTAAATTTTTTGGAACAAATGTCACACTTAAATTTTTTTTTCGTCACTGTGAATTTTTAAATGTCTTTGTAAAATAGTTTTACTAGTAAAATCTATGTAACAAATGCTACATTTAAATAGTTTTTCAGCATTATGAATTTTGAAATGACGTTTTAAATGAGATTTTCGATTAAATTCTTTAGAACAAACGTCACACTTAAATGGTTTTTCCCCGCTGTGAATTACTAAATGCCTCTGTAAGTTACATTTATCATTAAATGATTTATAACAAAAATCACATTTGAATGACTTCTCACCTCTGTGAACTGTTAAATGTTTATTCAAGGTAGATTTATAATTAAAGTTTTTGGAACAAATATTACAGTTAAATGGTTTTTCATCACTGTGAGCTATTAAATGATTCTGCAAGGAGGTTTTCTGAGTAAATTCTTTGAAACAAATGTCACATTTAAATTGTTTTTCACCTGAGTGAATCGTTAAATGACTCTCATACTGAGATTTTCTATTAAATCCTTTCAAACAAATGTCACATTTGAATGGTTTTTCACCAGTGTGAGTTATTGAATGTCTTTTTAAAGCAGATTTAAAATTAAAATCTTTTAAACAAATGTCGCACTTGAATAGTTTTACATTGCTATGAATTATTAAATGTTGATTTAATTGGGACATATTATTGAATCTTTTAAAACAAATGTCGCACTTGAATTGTTTTTCAACACTGTGAATTATTAAATGTTTCTTTAAATCACATTTATGATTAAATCCTTTAAAACAAATATCACACTTTAATTGTGTTTCAGTTGCGTGAATTCTTAAATGGGCCCGTAACGTAGATTTATCAGTAAATCCCTTGGTACAAACATCACACTTAAATGGTTTTTCACCGCTGTGAATTACTAAATGATTTTGTAAATGGGATTTTCGAGTAAATCCTTTATAACAAATGCCACAATTGAATGGTTTTTCAGCACTGTGAATTGCTAAATGACCTTGTAAGTGGGATTTTTGAATAAATCCTTTGTAACAAATGTCACACTTGTATGGTTTTTCACCACTGTGACCTAGTAAATGATTTTGTAAATGAGATTTTCGATTAAATCCTTTATAACAAATGTCACATTTGAATGGTTTTTCAGCAATATGGATTTTTAAATGTTCCCGTAATTTAAATTGTTTATCAAATATTTTGAAACAAGTGTTACACTTCAAGGAGTCAACATCAATGCTATTTTGGTTCGGCTCTTTAGAAGAAAAATTTAATTTCAAATGTTTATCTTCATTTTGAATTTTAATTCTATTTTTCACTACATGTATGAACAAATGTCGAAAAAATTCAATTTTTTTCATTTCTTTTCCACAAAACTGACAAACTAGGTAGCGTTTTTCGAAATGTCCATCAATATGAGTTGATCTTGACTTAGAAGAGGGAAAATCTGCAAATTAAAAAAAATGCCAAATAACAAAATATAAATTACCTAAGATTTATTATTTTATTGAGCAATTTTTAGAAAAAAGCAAAATGTAATATGTTTAATAGGTTAAGGTCTCTGAATATATAATAGTAAAGGATCAGTTTAAACTACAAGTTCTAGTTAAATCTAAATTAAAGTAACCATGTTCTTTTCAAACGTGGATTTAACAGTTAATTGTTGTACGCGGCAAGTAGCTTCCTGCTCGAATTAGGTACACAAAAGATTTTTGCTACCATTACATGACATTAACGAATTCAAATTTTAGCACAATGTTTCTAACAGCCACCGTTAGCTAACGTAACGTGCGTTGTGTATGGTGTGTTGCCTACTTACGTGCAGATTGAAAGCGTGAAAATTATTTATCATGTACTTTAGTTTTTATTTTCTAACGCATAGGTCTTACAATCAGAACCAGGGTGTAGACAAAAAGTTAGCCGAGAAAGAAGAAAGGGCAAGACGGAGAAAATGAAAAGAGAAAAAAGACATGAGGGAGTTTACCGTCATCTCTTACAACGCAAGGACATCATAATCAACCTACCAGCTCTGATGAAAGCCTTGAGGAACCCTTGCCAAGTTCTGGAACAGCTACAAAAAGAAGAAGGAAAGGCTTTGTCACGCCTAAGTTAGTTGCAGCTTTAAATAGATGTCAATTAAGCATAAGGGATTATGTTTATATACTTCAGGCTGTAGTAGAAGCACTAGATCTTAGCTGATTTTCCGATAAACAAATCGTTCATTCAACGCATTCGCACACAAAGTAGACAAGATAAAACGGAATCTATAAAATCAGATTTTCATAATATGCCTGAAATAGTGATCGTTCACTGGGATAGGAAATTAGTACCTGGACTGGACGTGAGAAGTTTTAAAGAAGAACACCTGCCAATTCTAATTTCATTTGGAGAAAAGGAACAACTTCTGACTGTGCCCAAAACTGGAGAGCTCTTCCGGTAAAGCTGTGTTAAACGCACTCTATGACTGGAACCTCAATGAGAAAGTACAAATAATGTGCTGTGACACAACTGCGTCTAATACAGGGCGATTGAAAGGAGCTTGTGTACTTTTGGAACAAAAACTAGACAGAGAATTAGTCAAATTTTTTAATAGATTAGTTTTATGTTTCTGTATTATATTAATGCAAAAGGACACGATGTATTGCGACTACCTTATCCAGATCTGAATCTTATTGAGTTAGTTTGGGCTGAAATAAAAGAGTATGTCTCCAAAAGGAATGTAAATTTTAATTTTAACTAGGTCATTCAGTACTGATGATTGTTTAAAAAAATTCTTTGCCGACAGCATTTATTATGTTTCTTGACCATACCGAGAAAAAAGCCCACCCAAAGGTAGGTTTTTCCAGGTAATCGATAGTGGATAGCCCCAAAGCGAACAAAACAAAAACTGGAACTCTTATTTTTCTATAATATATGTATTATTTAGTTTTAGGAAAAAATATGCAAATAATTTTAAAAAATGTATAAAATATGCAAAGAATGCGAATAAGAATAATTGTTGCACGGACTGTACATTCAAGGGACTTCCTGTCATCTTTCTCTGTTGCACAGTAACTCTTTCTTTTGCGCATCTCAGAGGCCAAGCTAGAATAGTTGACCCGTAGTTCCGTGTAATTATTTTTCATTATTTTATATAGTCTGTTTTTCTCTTTAATTGAAATTACAAGTCCAGAAGTGATCTACGATTTAATTTTTATTTAATTTATTTTTAATTGTATACTTTTATAACAATTTTCAATATAACATTTTAATTTATTTTTGAACAAAGAAGTGTTAATGTCTATTGAATTATAGACGTCAACCTTAGTATCAAATTTAATTTTTTCTTTTAATTCCGTTTCATTTAAAATTTGTCTAAAGTTGTCTACAGAATTTTTGCGATGTTTGGTCATGAATAAATTACTGCTGGAATATTAATATTATCTTTGTTTTTTTTTATAAAAATATGATCACAATATGTCATATCTGAATTGTCTTTCAATACTGTAAATTATTAAATGTTTCTGTAAGGAAGATTTGTCATTAAATCTTTTGGCACAAATGTGTCACTTGAATGATTTTTTAACCACTATGCATTATTAAATGTCTTTGTAAGGAAGATTTGGAACTAAATCTATTTGAACAAATGTCACACTTAAATGGTTTTCTGCCACTGTGAATTATTAAATGTCTCTGTAAGGCCGCTTTGTGATTAAATCTTTTGGAACAAATGTCACACTTGAATGGTTTTTCACCACTGTGAATTATTAAATGTCTCTGTAAGGAAGATTTATCATTAAAACTTTTGGAACAAATTTCACACTTGAATGGTTTTTCACCGCTGTGAATTACTAAATGTCTTGTTAAGGAAGATTTAAAATTAAAATCTTTGAAACAAATATCACACTTGAATGGTTTTATATCGCAATGAGTTAATAAATGTTGATTTAAGTGGGACTTATTATTAAATCCTTTGGAACAAATGTCGCACTTGAATTGTTTTTCATCACTGTGAATTAATAAATGTTTCCGTAGGCCACATTTATGATTAAATCCTTTATAGCAAATGTCACATTTGTATGGTTTTTCACCAGTGTGAATTAGTAAATGATTTTGTAAGTGATATTTTAGATTAAAACCTTTATAACAAATGTCACACTTGAATGGTTTTTCACCACTATGAATTATTAAATGTCTCTGTAAGTAAGATTTATCATTAAAACTTTTGGAACAAATTTCACACTTGAATGGTTTTTCTCCGCTGTGAATTACTAAATGTCTTGTTAAGGAAGATTTAAAATTAAAATCTTTGAAACAAATATCACACTTGAATGGTTTTATATCGCAATGAGTTACTAAATGTTGATTTAAGTGGGACTTATTATTAAATCCTTTGGAACAAATGTCACACTTGAATGGTTTTTCAGCAAGGTGAATTTTTAAATGTTCCCGTAATTTATATTGTTGATCAAATATTTTGAAACAAGTGTTACACATTAAGGATTTGTTATCAACATCAATGCCATTTTGCTGAAGCTCTTTAGAATAAAAATTTAATTTTACAGGTTTGTCTTCATTTT